CGAGGCTTCCTCCCCTCCCAATGGGAAGCCCAGAGGGGCTGGAGTCCCAGCGCAGGCTCCCCGCTGTGTGTGGGGGGCGGGGGGAGCCCCGAGCCTGCAGCCCACCTGCAAGCCAGTCGCGGACCACACGAGCCAATCTCCCTCCCAGAATTAGGAATAGGACCCAGGAGTCCTGCCCCTGCAATGTGGGACACTCTCCATCCCCAATTACCAAGATGGAGAGGAATCCCAGAGCATTACTCCACAGGCCCAGGCAGCGGTACTCCCGGACCGCCTGTGCACCGCTGCGGAGATGGCAAACCCCCGGGCTGTAGAAAACAGGGAATTCATGGACCTCGTTCTCAGTCACATCCTGGCCCCTTGGTGCTTCTCCAGCAGCTTCACAGGGTCTTCTAGGAGGTGGGAACCCACCCAAGAGACTCACCTGTGCAGGAGTCCCTCTGGCTCCATGCTGTGGCTATTCTCTGCTCCCCAGAGGCCAGGAGGCGCCCAGCAAGGTCCCTTGAAGCTTGTGTTTGTCCTAGCCCCAAGATGGGAGCAGCACTCTCTGCTCTGAAACCCGCCTTTCCCAGCTTGCCAAGGAAAGAAAAGCAAGCAGAACTTTGTGTGATAAAGACCCACTTTTCTCTCCATCCGCACATCCGCACCCACCTCTCTCTTCCCCACACAGCCCAGCTTTGTAGCTAGCCAAGTAGCGACTCCAATCCCTCCATCTGTAGTTTGCTCAGCAGCTAGGCAGGGGCCTGGCCGTCCATCGGTTGTCTAACCCACCTGCCCAGCAGGGAGCACGGCGATGGAGGATGGAACTAGGAAAACCATTCCCCGACGGGCAATTCATTCCATAATTGGCTCCTAGAAGCTTACTTGCACGTCCAGCCAGCCTGTTGAGAGACCTGGATTCTGTTCCTAGCTCTGCCACCAACTGGCTGGAGGACCATGGGCAGATCATTTCCCCGTGCCTCAGTTTCCCCCTCTGTCCCAGGTCTCATGGGCACTGCCTGAGACAGGCTCTAGGCTTTCCTAATAGACGATGCTCTTGACTCTCGTGTCTGCCGTGCTACCATGTGGGGGTCCGATTTGGAGTAGCCTCTAACTTCAGGCAGTAGATGGGGGTTGGCTCGCAGCTTACATCCTGCTGAGGGCTAACCTCCAGATCTTCAGAGGAGCTGAAGGCGAGGGGGCTTCTTGCTAGGAAACACCAGCTGCCCAACCTGCTACATCCTTACAAGCCTTCCCACCGTGATCAGCTGGGGCAAGGAGACCAGGAGAGCACAGAGTGTGACAGGGTCTCTCACGGGCCCAGGGGCGACAGCTCCTAATGAACTGTCAGGTGGGGAGAGGGGAGTTCTGACAGCAGGCAAAAAGTGGGCGAAGGCAGCGAGAAAAAGGAGTTTCTATTCCGCTTAGGGTGTGGGAAGATAGAGAATGTGTGTGTGTGCGCGCACATGTGCACGCACAAGATTTTGTGAGCAGGAGTGAGTTTGTGTGTGTCTCCATGTGTGCACGAGTCAGTGTGCATAAGTGTGCATGTGTGCACGCAGAAGATTGTGAGCAGGTGTGAGAGTCTCTGTGAGCACGAGACTGTGTGTGAGATTGGGTGTGAGAGAGATTCTGTGTATGCGTGCCCATGAGCATCGGTGGGCGTAGGCATGAGTTTCTCAGTACGCACACACGCAATGGAAAGTGTGTGCGTGTGAAGGAAAGCGTGTACCTTCAGGAGAGCATGTCTGTGTGTGTTTGTGGCATTGTGCCGGGGAAAGAGGGTACGTGCATGAGGTGGTGTGGAAAGGAAAGAGCGAGTGTGTGCATGCAAGGGAAAGTTTGTACATGTGTGTGAGTCTCTGTGTGTTATCAGTGTGTGTGCAAGGGGATGGGCATGCATAGGAGACTGTGTTTGTGCAATACATGCCTATGTAGGTGTGTTTGCTGCATGTGTGCACATGTGTACAGCTGTGTGAGAAGCAGCTTGTGCAATTTTGTGTCTGTATGTGTTAGCCTGCCGGTGTGTAGGAATGTGTGCATGGAACTGTGTTTGTGTGTGTAACTCTGGGTGAATGTGTGTGTGTGGGGGGGGGGGGGGCAAACCTGCGGGCAGCTGTATTTGTGTGAACACTTGTGGGAGAATCCCTTTGTGAGTCTGAGCGTATCTGTGCCAGGACACTCCGGAGTGTGTCTGGGAATCGGTGTGTGTGTGTGTCTCCTTGAGCATACCTTGGGGGTGTATGTGTGAGCACGCCCACGCACACCTCTCTGTGTAAGGATACATTGGGGTTGTGTGTGTGTGGTGACGCTGTGCAAATGAGTGTGCGGCTGCGTTGTGTGTGGTGTAACCCCTGGACTTGTGAATGTCTTCGTGCCTCTCGGTGAAAGTGAAGTGTGTGTGTGTGCACCCTGGGTTGTGTGTGTGTGTGTGTGTGTGTGTGTGTGTGTGTGTGCGCGCTGGGCGAGTGTGTGTGTGTGTGTGCGCGCGCTGGGCG